TCTGTGCATCTGAAGTTGCTGAAGACCTCAGAGCACAGGCAGGAGCTGTGCGCGTAAAAAAAAGCAAAGCACTCACTGGAGCAGCGGCGGCGACTTCAGAGCTCCCTGCCCCCAGGCCACCACAACCTCACAGCAGCCCGTCTGAGTCCCTGGATCAGAGCAGACACTGTGCACTGAAAGAGGACCGCCGTGGCTGGCGGTCTGTGTGACAGGGGCGTGGCTAACCAGGGAGAGGAGAGGCCCAGTGTGAGACACAAGTGGGAGCTCCGGGTTTCCCACGCAGGGGCAGGCAGGCAAGGGGAAATCACTTGAGACTTCTCATGTCCTTACCCTTTTCCCCTTGGTACCCACCAATACCTACTGTGTCAGGTATTCTATTTCCTTGTTCACCCCTTACTCAACCTCCCAAGAGAAATGCAAATTATGTGAGGGCAGGGAACTTTGTTTCATTCAGTTCATACCCCAGACACCAAAAACAGTGATCATGTAGGAGCCCAACAGTATTTACTGAATGAATGACTATGGCATTCTCACACACACACACACACACACACACACACACATACACACACTACACCAGGAAAGATACAGGAGAAATGTATAACCAGGCACAAAGACTGAGAAACAGAAGTAGTAATGAGGCGATTTTACTGACTGTATGGAGGAACCTTCGCCATATATTTATACATACCCCAGTGCACCTCCTCCAAAACAAACAATCTTAATGTAAAACGTACTTAGATGCCTACCTACTGGATCAGGAAAAAGGTTGGTGAGAAGTATGTCGAGACGATCCACTTCTGAAAGCAATTAGGAGGATTAAAAATGCACACACACCTCCCTGCAAGTCGCTGTCTTGTTCTAACGCGCTGTGTGAATGAGGACAGGGTTTAGGGTTAGTCTCCATCCTGCTGTCTAATCAATCTAGGGCAGTCTTGCCTCCTCCCGCGGTCTCACCCACGAAGCCTCTGAACTCAACCCCGTCCCACACCCATCATGCTGTCTACCTTGTACTACACATTAACCCAGTAAACCTGGCATCTGCTCAGTTGGCCCCGCCCCCAGAGCTAGTCCCGCCCACACCTTCCTTCCCGCCCTCTAACTGCTCTCTGCTCAGTCAACCCCGCCCCACAGGCCCATCGCCGGGCCTGGGCCTCGCCCCCCTCGTCGTGGCTACCCAGCTTGAACTCACTAAGCCAAATGGAACTTCTGGCCCCCTGAGGACGGGTGTGCAGCCGTTTACCCGCCTCAGTCCCCAAACGAACACCACCCACTCTCCCTAACGGCCACGTCTAGAGCGAGACCCCCGGAAGCTGAGACTTAAGGGTGGTTTACGCTGAACCGGAAGGGGAAGTGCCTGGCGGGGTCATGGGCTGAGCAACCAAGGAGCCGTCAGCTCATTTTAGAGTCAGCGAGAGGGTGCCCAGGTCTGGGTCTGGAGTCCTAAATGAACTGTACGAATTGTTTAGCAATGGGTGCTTTGTCTCTAAATGGCGAGACTGCAGTGTCTGATATCACCATAAAATCTGTCTGCAGACAAATGAGTTGACAGATGGCCAGATGGAAATCAGGTAAATCCAGTCAGAGCCAACAGGCTGAGGTCTTCTTACACACTAACTCAGTAATTATCATTTTTTTTCTTTTCTATTTTAAAGAAAATAAAAAATAGAAAAAACATTAAAAAGATACAGGATTTCAAAACAAGATGATAGGAAATCAACAATGGTTGTCATATTGCATATTGTTATCTTCAAAGTAGTTGTTCAGATTACCACATATAAGCATGTAAAATTAGTCAAAAAATTAAAAATTAAGTATTAACTGTTTCTTTCAATAAACCTATAGAAATTTAGTAGTACAATATCTTAGCTATCTTCTTTCTTTTCTCCTTTCCCTCATCCCAGTTATTCTTTCCTTTTGAGCAGTTTCTTGCCCTTTCACAATATCTACTGTACCTTTTGGATATTAGTATTACTTTTTTAAGTAGTGAGTGAAGCCAGTAGTGGTGACCTAGACCTGTAGCTCCAGCTTGTGGAAGGCAAGAGAATCAGAAGTTCAAACCCAGCCAAGGCATCTTGGCCACCCTGTTCTCAAATTTCAAGGCAAGATGATCTCAAGTTGAAGGCCGGCATGGGCAAGTTGGTGGCACTCTGGAGCCTTAGGAGTCCAGCTCAAAGGCCCCTGCCAATACTGAGGGAAGGGGTCCCAGCAGGTACAGCAAGAATGGATTTCAGGAACCCAAGATACTGTGTCTAATGGGAGGCTCTTGTGATTTTGGACTCTGAGGTTTGGGATTTGCCATGTTACCTGTGTAGGAAAATTACACTTAATTCTTCTATAAACCTGATAAAAAGAGTGATGCCCTGAGAATGTCACTTTCCTCATCTGTGACATGGGAATAATCATTCAGATCCTTGAGCCCTGTTTTCTGGCTGGGGTGAGATGGGCCCTGGTTTCTCATGGAAGCTGTGGGTGTCTGTGTGGGGGTGGGACGTGTGAGTGGTGAGTGTGCCGGTGTGTGCATGTGCTGTGCGTGTACTCGTTAGTCTATGTACGATCAGGTGGGTGGAGAAGCCTCCAGGCTGTCAGAACACAGGACAGCCTGGATTCTTGTGACACATTTTTTTCCCCAGCTCAGGCCCCCTGTACCCAGCCTCTCCTCAGAACACACACACAAGGAATGAAAGGTTCATCAGTGAGTTCCTGACACACTGGCTGCAGGTGAGTCTCAGCTTCCTTTGTCCAAATCATCGTTCATTCCAAACATTTCTCTTATCTCAGCATTGTCTGTGGCTTGTGCTCAACTCTGCAGCTTGAGCAAAGTTAGATTCCAGGAGCTCCCAGTCTTGAGCAGGGAGAGAATCACTGCACAGCAGTGCACTGGACCTTCTGAGCCAATAAAGGAGACAGGAGATAAGCACTGAGGTCCGAGTCCAGAGGTCAAGGAGAGGAGCCCTGAGCCCTCCCACACATCCTGTGCTCTGCCTCCGCTTCCCTGGCTCTGTCAGCCTGGGCCCCTTCAAGTCCATGCTGAGGGAACCTTGGTGGAGCCATGACGTTTGCAATGATTTAGGACCCGGTGACCTTTGAGATGGTTGTCATGGATTTCACTCAGGAGGACTGGGCATTACTGGACCTATCCCGATAATCACTGTACAGGGAGGTGATTCTGGAGAACTGCAGGAACCTGACCTCATTCAGTAAGCTGGGCACCATGCAGTGTTTTCTTACTGCCTCAGGTGCCCTTTTATTCTTATGTTTTTAATGATGTAAAATTCACAGAATTTAAAACTCACTTTAGTGAACAATTTAGTGGGTGTTAGTATATTCACAGTAGTATGTAACCATCCACACTATCTGACTTTAAAGCATTTCCTCCCGCTAAAAGAAATCTCAACCCCATTCATCAGTTTATACCCATTTCCTTCCTTACCTCCTGGCATCACTTAGTCCACCAGGCACCACTTAGTCCAATTTCTATGTATCTATCCAATCTGGGTATTACATAGAAAGAGGATCATACAATATATAGACTTTGTATCTGGCTTCCTTTGTCTAGCATGTTTTCAAGGGTCATCCATGTTGTCACAGGTATTTTAAGTTTCATTCATTTTCATGGCCAAGCATTATTCCATTGTGAGTATATGCCACTCTTTCTGTATCCTTCCATCAGGGTGCATTTTGGATTTCCTCCATTTCTGGCTCTTGTGAACAGTACTGCTATAAATATTTATGTACACTGTTTGGCTTGAATACCTCTTTATCATTCTATTGGGTATAAACCTAGGAGTAGAATTACTGGGTCATATGATAAATCTACTTCTAATTTTTTTTTTTTTTTGTTTTTTTCTGGTACCGGGGATCAAACTCGGCCTTGCACTTGCCAGGCAGGTGCTGTGCCGCTGAGCTAAATCCCCAGCCTCTTCTACTTCTAATTTTTGAAGAACCTCCAAATTTTTTTCTATTACACTTCTGCAAGTTTACATTCCTAATATCATTGATGCTATTTTTCACATTCTTGCTACCATGACTTTTTCTTTCTTTTTTGTAGAAGTAGGAATTAAACTCAGTTCCTTTGCACTGTGTTATATTCCAGCTTTTTCTGTGTATTTATTTTGAGACAGGGTCTCACTAAGTTACTAAATTGCTCAGGCTGGGTTGAAACTTGCAATCTCCTGCCTTGGTCCCCTAGAGTTCTGGATTTACAGGCATGTGTGTGAATTGGTACCTACCACATTGTTTTTTTATTTCCACTTTGCTAAATACTAAGATTGGTCATCTTTTTCAGTGCTTTGTGGCAATTTGAATATCTTTTTGGAGAAGGGTTTATTCTAGTCTTTTTTCTATTTGGTGGGCAGCATTTCTTTTGATGGAGTTTTAGTAGTTCTTTTTATATTCTTGAGGCTAGATCCTTATCAGGTATATCATTTGCAGACATTTCCTCCTATCTCATGTACTGTGTTTTTACTTTTTGGAAAGATAGTTTTTGCCCAATACAGAATTCTTGGTTGACAGTCTTTCTTGTGATATTTTAATAGATGAATGTTATAGACAATTGCTTGTAGACGATAAATTGTCCTCTCATTACTTACAAGATATAGTAGTCACCCATCTGAGGGAAGTAAATTCCAAAATCCCCAGTGGGTGCTTGAAAGCACAGACAGTACCAGTTCTATCAGTTTTTTCCTACACAAACCCAGATTTAGTACTTTTTCCACCTTAAATAGCACTTATCATATACTGTGACCAAATTTTTGCAGTTTGAGATACAACAGCAAAATAAGTACAAATTTCTTTTTCCTTCACAATTTCCGTGGATAGAAAATTTATAGTTACCATGGATCTTAGCAACTGCAGCATGGAATTTTTTCCCTAATAAAATCAAGAATTTCCACCTTTTCATTTAAAGAAAGTGTTTCACAGCTTCTCGTTGGCATGTCTAAGTTGCCATTACTGCTTTTTTGCTCTGGAAGATCATGAAGTGAATGCTTTTTCTTGAACTCTAATGCTATGATGCTGTGACACAGACATCTTATTGATTTAACAATAAGATGAATACAAGGCCACTAATGTACCCGTAGTGTGTCCAGCATGGAGGTTCTGGAAAAAGGGATGATTGTCCCAATGGACAACAAGACAATGCAAGATTTCATGAGGCTACTCAGAATGGCACACAACTTAACCCTTATTGTTTGTTTCTCAAATCTCCCACTTATTGCTTTCATACAGAAGACGACCATGAGTAACAGGAGCTTCAGAAAGTGAACTCAAGTGAGGCTGGGACCAATGTACTCTCTTTGTCTTTGACTTTGAATGGTTGGATATAAGATATCTGGGTGAGCACCCCTTTGAGTTTGTTCCACTTGGAGTTCAGTTTCTTAGATAGGCTTTGATTTGTGATTTTCATCAAATTTGTTACTTTCATCAAATTTGGAGATTTGGGACCATTATTTTTCCAAATATTCCTTCTGCCATTGCTCTCTCTCACCCCCTTTAGTATATGCAGTTTTTGCACACTGGGTATTTGGTGGTGTCTCCTGTACATCTTATGTTCAGTTTATGTTTATCTGTCCTTCTTTGTAATTTCTGCTGTTTAAGAATTTTTTTTATTTTAAAAATAAAAGGAGGAAAACAACAGACAGACAGTCTTTTATTGGATAAGAAAATTGTGGTACTTTTATATAATGGAATACTACTCAGCTATAAAGAAAGATAAACTCGAGGCTTTTATAGGTAAATGGTCACAACTAGAGAACATACTCATAAGTGAAATAAATCAGACCTGCATGTGCAAGTGCTGCATTGTCTCACTCGTGTAAACCTGAAAGAGTTAATTTAAACTAGGAGGTATGATAAACACTGGGAAATGATAGGAAAACACTGAAGTGTAAAGGGCAACTGGGATGTGGGAAAAGAGAAGGGAAAGAAGGAGAAATCTTGTATGTATGTATATATAGGATAGTTAACATAGTTGATCTACTGTCTTCTATTTCTTTGCTGAAAGAAATTGTTAATGAGTCTTGATTCGTCAATATTGCATGTCTCTATTTGTTTTCATGAGAAACTGCTTTGAAGATATCAATATGTAATGTAACTTCCGCTGTTGTTTTGCCATTCTGAACTAACTTGACTTCAGGTCCGCTAGTTCTTTCTTTTGCATAATCAAGGTTACTGATGAACCACTTCAGTGCATTTTCATTTCAGACTTTGTACCTTTCAAATTCCAAATTCCTATTTTATTTTGCATAATTTCCATCTCTTTATGATGTTTTCCATTTGGTCAGAATTAATTTTTA